TGTGTGTGTGTGTGTGTGTGTGAGAGATGTTGAAATGTAAGTGGAAAGCAACAATAGAAAAATAAGTGTGGTAATTGTACATACTTCTATAAATTACAGATTGTTCAACCAGAAGCCAAAAGATGACGACTCCTTGCTTTGGTGGTGGAAAGAAAGGTAAATAAAATTATTGTACCTCACTCTGCAGCAAGATATATTTGCAACTTTTTATATTTCTATGATTTATAGGTCGTGCATCTGGATGTGGTGGGATGAATCGATGTGGTGACAAACTGGATGGAAGCCAAAAATCATCCTCTCCACAGCTGCACTTTCGTTCATTTTTCAATTTGCACTTTTGTTCAAAGTTCAATAGTTTTGTTGTGTGCAAATAAATTATTTTGCTACAAAAACAGTATTTGTAATGTTCTTTTGTAGGAGGAACACATTATTGAGGTATTTGAGCTGTCACAAAAGCAAAAAAAGTGTAAAACTTGAAATGATGCTTGAAATGCATGCTTTTACAAAAAGCTCATTTTCTCTGGATTTCTGCAGAAAATCGGCCTTTTCCATAAAACTTAGCAGTTTTCTAATGCTGATTGCCAACGAACGGAGAAAGATAGAAACAAACTTTTTTTTTCTGCTGAAAGAAGAGAGTCTCACCTTTCTTTTGACAGGTTGCATGTATATATAGCCATAGAACAGAAAATTCCGTGGGCCTTGCAAATCAGTCAAAATTCAGTAAAATGTGAGGGATTGAGCGGGTTGCTCCAGTGAAAAGGGGTGGTATTCAATGAGTTAAACTCCTCTAGAACTATTCAATGAGTTAATAGTAATGATGCACTTTTTTAATGTCAAATGTCAGTTGACAGTTTTTTTTTTTTGGCTTGTTTGTCATGTCGCTAGCCGCTGGAAAATGGATGGCGGGCTACAAATGGCCCCCGGGCCGTAGTTTGGACACCTCTGGCGTCCACACTACCCGGCCATGAACATACATAACGTCGATCAAGAGTCCAGCTGCGGAGCACCACAAACCTTGCTTGTCAATGACCTCGGAACCAAAAGGCTCCAAGGGCTGCTCCCACCTGGCGGCTCCGTGCGTAATCTCCCGCCAACAGGTGAGACTATCTTGAGCCGAGTGTGCTAAAAATGCAAATCAAATAAGCACTCAAACCAGTTGCGGAAACCGGCGGATTTCAGATCCCCCGGCGCATAACGAATAGGCTCTAAGCTGGCGGAGAAAGCGAGCCAGCGTGCCGTGAAATCAGTGTGGGTGGGAGAGCACTCAATGAGAAGCGCGCTACCTGGGCGGGGTGCGATAGCGCCGCCGCATCAAGCCTGCCCAAAGACTCAAAGGCCAAAGATGCTGCATGAAACCCTGCAAAATGAACATTGCAGCTGAGCTATTTTCTTTTCCCACTAAAACAGGTGAGCGAGCCCGATTTCAAAGCAAAGCGATGCCCTCTCAAGATAGCGACACAAGAAAGCTCCGATGGGAGATAACTCGAGCATGTCGTCGGCTTCGTGTCTCCGTGCGCTAAACAAAAACAACTGGCAGCTTTTCACCTTTCTTTGCGCCGATATCCTGTGACGTTTCCATGTTGTAGAAAACTAGCGGCCAGTGAATGCGGTGTCGGCTTCTGGAAAGAAGATGAGCGCGTTTCCTCCGATGAGTAAAATGCCGCCCGCGGTGTGACGATGGGATGCCCGCGCCACAAGCGTGTTCATGTAAGCTAGCTTCATTGACGCACCAGCCAAGCGATCGAGTGCGACCGCACTTCGGGTGGGTTGGGCCGCTGTCGTTCCAAACTGTCCGTGCGCGCTATTCCCGAGCGGCGATCTTTCATGCCTTTTGTGGATCGATGCGATTTACGGCCGAGCACGGCGGCGCAATCGTGGCATCCGGTCAGTGGATGGTTGTGTTTGAAAAGCGGAAATAAAGAAATGGGATCGCTTCAGATCGGCATCAGGCCTCTTCCGAAGCAAAGTCCGCAACGCCGCGCACTCTCAACCGATTTGCCAGTCAATCTTCACACATCCGCCAAAAGACGTTGAGCGACAGTTTGAGCGGGCGCAAATTTTGAGTGTGTTCAAAATGCGCACCAATGTGGTTCTTTGGATGTGTCGGGTACCTTGGTCAGGGGGAGGGGATGGGGATGTCCAGCTGGCGCTAGCTTCACGGTGGTCTCCCAGATGCGCGGGTCAAAGAGCTCTCGAGCGGTCACCATGAATTGGACGGGCTCCGAAAGGTTTGCAGACTCCTGCTCGGCATACACGACCCCGTCGGGCCTCACGCCGAAGTTGGGGTCGCTGCTCACAAAGCCCACCTCTCCGCTGCGCTGGCAGTCTTCAAACTTCACTGCGGAGAAACAGAGAGAAAGAGGTTACAGAGTTAGAGGACATCAAAGCCAGATTTACTTGGGGAGGGTTTGGCAAATCCTCGACACGTTTTTAAGATTAACCCGCACCCATCAAACGGCGTCTTGAAATATCTCATCCCTTTTGCTGTCACTCGCGAGTCCTCACTTTGACATCTCTGGCAAAATGAACCGCTTATCTTTCTCTGAAGCGGATACACGGGGGAGGCCAATTCTCTTTTGTACCATTCTTCTTTCCAGACGAGACAGATAGCGATGTCAAGACAGAATTTCTCTCAGCCTCTCCGGGGGGAAAGCACGAGGAGGAGGAGCTCCGACGGGATACGAGGCTCACTTGGAGGGCTGCGGCCGAGGCTTGACCGCCGAGCCCGTGCGGCCGTGGGCTCGTGTTTCGCCATTCATCTCGACACCGCGAGGGCGCTCCGGTTCGATAATTCCACCGACTTCGGCAGAGTGAGGCGCACTCAGGCTGGAACGGGAAGGAGCCTTCCCCAAGCAGTTCTCGGCAGTCCAGTCAAGAGATTTCAAGGTTTCAGGGGGACTAAGGGATGGAGCCTTAGCCCGGATCGATGGCAGCAGGCCCCGTTCTGTCCGTATGGGAGTCGATGTTTGGTCAACGTATGCAAACCTACTGAAGCCCGAGGGATGGCGGGCGCTCGGGTGCAGATATTCTGCTGACAGCTGACATGAACATGCCACTCAAATCGCATCAGACAGACGCGACGGCTATGTCGTCATCCCGTGGCTCGCGGCGCGGCGAGAAGACATGACGGCCGGCTCCCGGCACGCCCGCCTCGTTTCCACACACCGACGCCAAGTGGAAAGGCGTGCGCTGTGACCATACCTCAAACTCTGGCTGCTGATAAAACGACAAATTGATTTGATGAATCGCCCAGGCGATGGAGCGACGCTTATGAGCGGCGGCACCGTGATTTTTCCAAAATCCCGTCGCCAGAAATTATACACAGCCGGCTTCTTATCGAGCCATCTATTGAATTTATCGCTCGGCGTCCGATCCAAAGTGGCTTACCAATGACGGGCTAACAAAGCAGAGTCTTCTCCGCCGTTCCAGCTTCGCGTCAAACAAACTAAACGCGCACCAAACGAAACGGAGGGAGCTTTGGTCTTTGTTGGCAAACGCCACGCGTCCAGATTTTGATGAACACTCCCCAGCCTCCAGAGCGCGGCGCTTGTGGGAGTGAAAAGCTTCGCGCGTAAGCATCACCTGGCTTCATGCCACGCACAAAAGCCGAAGGTGATTTCACAACAGGTTGTGACAACACAACAAAGAGCCGCTTCAAATTGGCCACAGATTAATTGCGATGGCGGGCGCGCGGTATGTAAATGGCTTCAATTGACTTGAACCGAGCAGCCTAATTGTTGTCGCTCAGACGGGCCTCTTGTGGTGCAGCTGCGGCACCGACACGTGCCGCTTACACGCGGGTGTTAAGCTTGCCGCGTGCGCGGCAACGCGCGTAGGTGGCGGTTCGGAGTTTGTCGAGTCGAAGGAGCCGAGTTGGAGCGCAGAGTTAACTTTGCGCCTTAATTCTTCGATAACACCGGCGGCAAGGTCTGCGAGGGCCCGTTTCAAATCGCCGCCGTGCATTACGTGTCGTGCGCCGAGACCCTTTGGAATGCGGAGGCTGATTTGACTCCAAAGCAGCGTCTGGGCATGAGGATGTCGCTGACCACTGCCAGCAATTTTGTCAACATGTCGATACGTCCGAACATCCGCGACGTCGGCTGACAGGCTCCTGAGAGTGTTGTCATTCTGCTCGCTTACTCGGATCTCGACTCGCGCGGCTGAAAAAAAAAAAAACGGTGCCCTACAGAGCGGCCGGCGCATTGCGGAGGGGGCTGCCACTGAGTCGCCGACGTGAAGTCACGCGTGTGCGCTTTGTCTCTTCCTGTTTGCAGATCATCCGCGGTGACCTTTCACCATTGCGGTCAATCATTGGCCTTGTGTTCCTCCCGCCAAATTCAGACCGAACGAAAAGATGACAATGATGACGACGACACCAAAACAACTGGTTGCGAAAGAAGCCGCCCTATTTTACCCGGATAAACGCAAGTGGAGCTCTCGTCAATAGTTGACCTTCATCAAACAATAAGCAGAAAATACGGTCACCGAAATAAAAGCCACCACACTGAATATACATCAGATACATTGACTTCAATTTGAACTTCGCCCCGAAATGCATGCGAATCGGTCGGTGGCGGCGGCGCCCTGCAGCGGTTGACGTCCTTTTTTAGCTGACAGAACCTTTTTTTCTGAACGTTGGGCAAGCCCCCCTCGCTGGCCACCTTTAAAACTCGTCTTCCAACTCATTTTCATTCTTCGGCTTTTGATTCACTCGTGAGACTTTTTATTTGGAGTTGGACTGTTCTTGTGCTTTCTACTGTCTTTGTTATTCAAGCGTTTTATTGTTGTATGAGTTATTTTGGCTCCGCGTGCAGCGCTTTGTCGACAGCGGCGGTTGTTTTCAAGTGCTTTCGAAATACACTCGGGTAGAGTTTGGAAGACGGTGATGCTCATGAAGCAAGGAGGGTGAAGAGTTGCGTTTCCCTCACTCACTCACTCACTCACTCACTCACTCACTCACTCACTCACTCACTCACTCACTCACTCACTCACTCACTCACGCTGGCAGAGGTCTTGATTTCCGGCCTATGCCAAAGGAGACACAAGCAAAGTGGTTTTGCGATTCTATCGAAGGCGTTTGGGTTTGGCGGAGATCTGCACTCAAAACACTTTCAACCACTTTTTTCCTGGCTCTGAAACACCAAAAATGCCCCCCCCCCCCCACATCCAGGATAGCGTTCACCATTTCGTCCTGTTGCAAAGTAAATCGCCTTTTTGCAACTACTCCGCTCACCCACCAAACCAATGAAAAATAAGCAGCGGCGCACACAAACGTCGGTGCCGCCGCCATGCTGGCGTCGCGATAGAAGCGCCGCAAGTCCTCCTCCGAGCAAATGAACCGACACGCTAAAATGTGTGTGGAGGAGAATGATTATGGAAATCCCACTTTTGATTTGCCTGCGTACACATTTTGGTGTTGTCTGCCGTGCTTGCCCGCCAATCAAATGTCAAGCTCCCCAACGGAAAGATTAGAATAATTGAGCGAACACGCTGCTGTTTTTTTTTTTTTTCCAAGACCGGAGGTGGGGACAACACTCATTCGAAAAAAGCTCCCCGGCAGCATCAAAATAATCTCTCGACCTCCGGGCTTCACGGTTCAAGTGAAAAAAAGGAAGGTGCGAATGGAGAACTCTCGTTCGTGCGCACGTGCTACATGCACGGTTGCTGCCGGCACGTGTGAGCGAAGAAGTGTGAGCCTGAAGGGGCGGGGCTAGCGAGCGGAGCGGCGCGCGTGACGCTCTCTTTCCGTATAATTATGCATCGAGGACTAAAACTGTTAATGACTTCACTTCACCCACGCGTGTGTGTGCCCAGTACGTGCGCGACGAAAGCGGCGTCGGCAACCATCGGCGCACGCGGCGCTTTTTTTTTTTTTTTTTTTTAACTGCCTCTTATTGGCCTTTGTCACATCGACGGTTCACGGGACACGTGGAATCCGCTCGACGCCTCCTTTTGTTTTCCATCGCTCGCCTCCCTCCTTCCGCAGGTAGAACATCTGTGAAAGAAGACGCCCGTCGCCTTCCCGGTGAAGGCGTAGGTGCCGACAAGGCTGTCGAGGTCTTTACGACTGCGTGAAAGCAGATGATCTTGTGTGGGCCACCTGCTCAACAGGAAGATTTTTAGCGTGTCGGATTCAGATTTTCTTTTCTGCGACACGGCACGACATCGGTTTATTATAGCCGCGTGCAACGATTCAAGGGGAAGAGCGACGCACTCTGTTACCATCGTACTTGCTATCTTCCATTTTTCTTTTAATTCATGAGAAGTGTTTTTCAGACCGGCGTTCACATTAATTTTGGGTCCAAATTTGTCTTGGGTCGCCGCTGAAGGAATGGGACTCCATTGGCCACTCGGATGAGATTATCTGAGGACGTGGCCGTCTCTGGCCTTGCCGTTTATCTCCGCATTAGCCTCCTCTCATGTGTGTGTTCACGAGCGGGCTTGAGGAATGAAGAAGGAGAAAGGGGGCAGATAAGGCGGCGGAGCGGAAGCAATTAAGGGGCCGGGTCACCGATTGAAGTCGCAGGCGTCGCTGATTGACACGGTCTCTCTCCTCTTGTCTCGCGAGTGGGTACACAGATTTCTCAAATGAAAGATGCCCCCCCGGCGCATGTGATCGGAAAAAAATGTCAGTTCTTACCGGCGTCTTCTGTGCGCTCTTTACGTGTTGGGGGTTTGTGTTGATGGATCTTGTCTAGTTACACGTCATAAATACTTCAGATTTGTTATGGCGCGCCACGGGATATTCTGAAGAGCTTTTCTGAATATTCAACGGTGCAAATGAAACGGCATTTGTCTTCGCACTAAACACTCACGATCATGCAAATGTTTTCCCTCCAGTTTCTGCTGCGTGTCAAGGTCCACATTTTGTGAATTCAAGAAAAAGAAGGCTATGTTGAATAGAATCGGGAGTCCTACTTAAAATACGGATTGATCTCAACGGGTGATTCCCACGCATGGAGCCCACTCTGCATAGTATGCGGCCACGGTGGCTCGTATTTTTCATGCACTTTGTATTAGCGGTGGATCTTATTTTGAAGGCACGTTTAAATGTTACCATAGCGACCAGAGAGCGCTGCGGCCAGATAGGACCTTCCTGTGTCATGATTCGTGTTTATTTTTAGCTTTCGAAAATACCACACTTTTCATGCAGGCCATATCATACGTAGGATTTTGTTGTGTTTATCTGCCACACCTTAAAGGTGTATTTTCCCTGAAAGTATTGTCTGACATGAAACCGGTCCGTGGGACAAAAAACATTGGGGATCGCTGTTCTCTCTGATACAACAGAATAAATATCGGCGAGCATAAATTCCGTATGGAACTACTGAATGCTTC